ATGTTAATAGCAGCACAGTTTGTCATAGCTTAATCTTGGAAACAACCCAAATGCCCATCAACTGAGAAATGGATAAAAAAAGATGTGGTATTTTTATACAACAGAGTATTACTCAGCTATAAAACAAGATAAACTCGAGGCTTTCATAGATAAATAGATGCAACTAGAGACCATACTCATAAGCGAAATAAATCAGACCCAGATGTGTAAACAACAGATTCTCTCCCTAGTGTAAGAACATGAAAGAGTAAATAAAACGCAAAATGTACAATAGATAATATGAAAGGGAAAGACATTGCTCAAAGGAAGGAACAACTGTGCTGAGGGAAAGAAGAAAAAAAAGTACTACAGCATTTTAGATAGATAGATAGATAGATGGCATAACCATGTTGCTGATGTTTAGTGGCTTATTGAAGGGAACAGTTAATGACTAAAATTTATTTTTATATTTTGACCAGTTTTGCATGCTTATATCTGGTAATCGCAGCAACTTATGTCAGAAAACAATTAACAGAATAACAACCATTGGTGAATTCCTAAAATCCTGTCAAGTGAAACTATGTATTGTCTCTAATGTTCTTTTAAATTATCATTTTCTTATTTCCTTTAATGGTTTGATCAATCTTCTATTCCTACATTTGCTAATCTGAGCAAGTTCATTGAAGATAACAACATGTAATATAACAACCCTGTTAATCCCTATCACTTGGTTTAAAAACCCCATATAATTTTTACTGTTGTTGCATTGTTCTGTCTGTATTTTGCTATTGTTCTTTTATTTAACTATTCTCTTTAAAATTAAAAATTTATAAAATTTAAAAATAATAAATTTTGGGAACATACCTTGTCTTACTCTTCTAGCTACAAAATCACGCACTTCTTGGTGCATCTGAAATAAATCAAACGTTTATAATGTTTAAGTTAACTAAGACATTTTTATGGGACTAATATGTATCACTTAGAAAATGTTGCCCTTCCTAGAAAAGCAAAAGCAATCTTGGTAAACAAAGGAAAGGCAGGAGGCATCACAATTCCTGACTTAACATTATATTACAAAGCTACTCTGATAAAATCAGCATGGTAATGGCACAAAAACAGACCTGAAGATCAATGGAACACATTAGAAGATACAGATACAACTACAAACACACTTGGTCACCTTATCTTCGACAAAGGAGCCAAACATGGTCAATGCAAGGAAGATAGCCTCTTTAATAAATGGTGCTGGAAAAACCGGCTTCTCACATGCTGAAGACTAAAACTAGACCCATGTCTTTTGCCATGCACTAAATTAAAGTCAAAATGGATCACAGATCTCAATATTAAAACACAAACACTAAATTTATTGGAAGAGAAAGCAGGTAAAAATCTTGACAACATTGGGGTAGGCAGAGAGTTCATGAACAAAAACCAACCTGCACGAGAAATACTTCAAAGAATCAACAACTGGAACATCATCTTATTGAAAAGTTTTTGCACATCTAAAGAAATCACCAAGAAAGTAAAAAGAAAACCCACAAAATGGGGAAAAAATTTAGCCAACTGCCCCTCAGACAAAGAACTTCTATCTATGACGTATAAAGAATTTTAAAAAATCAGGCCACCAAAATTCAAAGACCCAGTCCAAAAATGGGCATCTGAGATGAATATACACTTCTCTAATGAAGAGATACTAATGGTGAATAAATACATGAAAAAATGTTCAACATCATTAGTCATTCAAGAAATGCAAATTAAAACAACAGTGAGATTGCATCTTACTCCACAAAGAATGGCTATCATCGAGAAATCAACCAAGGGGCTGAGGATTTAGCTCAGCGTCAAAAGCGCCTGCCTGGCAAGTGCAAGGTCATGAGTTCAGTTCCCAGTACCAGAGAAAAACCAAAAAAAAAAAAAAAGAAATCAACCAATAATATATGCTGGAGAGGCTGTGGGGAGAAAGGAACTCCACTCCACTGCTGGTAGAAGTGTAGATTGGTGTAACCACTGTGGAAATCAGTGTGAAGATTCCTCACAGAACTAGGATTGGAAGTCCCATTTAACCCAGCTATTCCCCTTCAGGTATAATATCTTCAGGTATTTTCCCAGAAGAATTAAAGACATCACACCACAGCAATATATGTACATCCATGTTTATAGCAGCACAGTTTGTTAGAGCTAAATCTTGGAAAACAACCCAGATGCCCATCCACTGAGGAATGGATAAAAAAGATGTCCTATTTTTATATAATGGAGTATTACTCAGCTATTAAAAAAGATACACTCAAGACTTTTGTAGGAAAATGGACGCAACTAGAGAACATACTCATAATTAAAATAAATTGGACCCACATGTGTAAAGATCACATTGTCTCCTTGGTGACATTGTCTCCTCGGTGTAGGAACCTGAAAGACTAGGTAAAAAAAAAAGACTAGGTAAAACTCAAAACATACAATAGATGATAGGAAAGGGAAAGAAATTGCTCAAAGGAAGGAACAACCAGGATGAGGGGAAGAAGAAAGAAGAAGGAAGGAAAAATATATATATGAATAGCTGCAATAACTGTATTGCTGATGTCTGATGGTGTATTGAAATGAACAGTTAATGATTACAATTTTTTATGTCCTGATTGACTTTGCATGCTTGTGTCTGGTGGTCTGAGCAACTGATGTGAAGGTAACAATATGCACTGGAATTACAATGGTGAACTCGTACCATCTTGGCTAGTGATACTCTGTATTATCTCTAATGTTTTATTGAAGAATTATTTTCTTATTGTCTTTAATGGTTTGAGCAATCTTTCATTATTACATCTGATAATCTGAGCAATGTAGTTGAGGGTAGAGATATGTAATGGAACAACCACTGTTGATTCGTATTACTTTGTCTTTAGACCCTGTATCACTTTGAATGTTCTTGCTCAGATTTGTTTAAGTTTGTGATACTGGTATGCTGCTACTGTTCTATTTTGTTTGTTTGTTTCTCATTTACTACTCTCTTTAAAAGAGAAAAGAAAAAAAAGAAAATGTGGAGCTTAAGAATTTTTAAAATTAAGTATTGATACATTTTAGGTATACATAATGATCACATTCATCATAGCCAATTTGTACCTGTATGTTATGTAACTTGATCCCCCTTTTTTCTTTTTCCCTTTCCCCTACCTTTAAGATTTTTACAGACAAGATCTAACTTGAAGAATGCTTGAAACTTTCCTAAAATTCTTCCTTATTTTAAGTTCACATAATAGACTATGTGCAATGCTGTTAAGTTCATCTGATCAGTACAATTAACACTGATTTATGAAAGGAAAAGAGTGAGAGGAAGTTACTGTAATCTAGGGAGGACAGTATATCTAACAGTGTATTTTGACTTAGTACAATCATCTTATGTATTTTAGAGGTTTTTTGGCCTATTAGTCTGGTTTGTAATCTGTATATATGGTACTTAACTTTCTAAATTAGAAACAAATGCATCTGATGCTGGGAAAAATTAAAGGGGGAGGGAGAGAAGGGGGAAAAGAATTGAAATATGACAAATACTGATTCCTTACAATTAATGTAATCATTAAGTATGGAAAACATATACTAATAAAGTCAAAAAAAGCCTATTAAATATAAGGGTGATGTTTCATTAAAACAAAACATAAAACACATATTTTATACTACTTATCAAACTCTTCCCATAATAAAACTTTAATCAGTTTTTTCACTGTAATAGATTTTTCCTGAAAATTAACTCTGCTTTTAAAATAACTGAAAATTTAACATATATCGTTATTAATTTTTTCAGCACACAGGCTTAAATACAGAAATGGAAAAATTGTATTGTTATAAAGCCATGCAGAAAATCTACTGGCTAAAGATTTTAAATAATATGCTATTTGGTTGTGACTGAATAAATATTTCTTTATTAATACACATACAAAGATTTCAGCAATTTGCTTAAAAAGCATAAGCATAGGGTAGAGCCAGTTTTCAAACTTTCTTTGATTTATTACTTTCTAGAAATGGAAACAAGGGAAACAATAGACAGCTTATACTGTAACTCTGCTATTTTTTCAGAAGTTAAGAGTCAATTTTTTTGAAACATGACTATGTCTGGGAACACCCCAATCTATTCTGGACTTTCCCCAGATAATGTGTTCTTACATAAATCTTTTCTACAAGAGCTTTTTTCTTACTAATGCTCCAAGCAGAATATAACCTATCACACACAATATAATACTTTCTGGTAGCAATGATAACGTGATACAAATGCCTTTAAAATTTTAGGTATAAAGGCAAGTTCTTTCACAGGTTTCCCAATCCTTCTTTTTCTTTTATCTCAGGGTCTCACTACGTAGTTCAGGCTGGCCTTGAACTCACTGTGATCCTCGTGCCTCAGCCTCCCAAGTACTGGAATTACACCCATGTGCTACCACGCCCCGCTCAGCATGACAAAAGACTTTTCTGTAACAATTTTGCAGAAACAGCACTACAGAAAGTGTTACAAAAGTAACAACTGAATATCACAACAAAAGACAAGCCTTTATTGAATGTTTTTTCTTTTGAGACAGGTCTGGGTAGTAGATCAGGATGATATTGAACCCACTATGTAGTCCAGGCTGGCCTTGAACTCATGGTGATCCTCCTGCCTCAGCCTACTGAGTGCTGGGATTATACGTGTGTGCAACTATGCCCAGTTTCAAACAATCTTATGTTACCCTTAACACTATGTAAAATGTAAATCACACATTTGCATAACTTGAATTAAGGAACTACCAATGTAATTATCTTTTCTGATAAAAGCTCTTGTCCTATTTACTTACTGCCTATAGGTAACAGATCTTATGTGTTTATACCCCATCCACAAAAACTTAGGATACATGAATTCAGTTGGAATAAAAACGAAATACTTTCCTCAAAAGACTGTTTACTTTTATAAAGAATATTTTTTCTCTTTACTTTACATCTTTGTCTTCCCTTTTTTTGCACTACTAAGGCATAATACCCAACACCCAAAGTTGAAGGAGGAAAGGTTTACTGTAGCTCAGACTTCGTAGAGGCTTCGGCCCAGAGTCAGCTGGCTCCAAGGCAGAAACCAAGGCATCACAATGGAAAAATAGTTCATGGTGTGGTAAGCAGAAGGCTGTGAGATTGCCTTCATCGTTCCCTTCCTATCCCATCCAGACTACAAGCTTATTTCCTTGGTGCCACTGACACCCAGGGTGGGCCTTCCCACTATCTCCACCCAGAACTTTGCTAAACAAATCAGTGATCCACTGGGAGATCGTCAAGCTACACTCGGGTAAGAACTGAAGCCCCTTGCCTCCATCTTTCCCTGACCTTTACTTCACCCGATTCACTGAGACATATAGAGCTGGCTATAGCAAGGTACATGTTCTCTTAATTGGCCAAAAGAATAGGACTGAGCCCAGCTGAGATGCCAACATGTCTTACTGCAGCACACAGCTGAGAAATGCCCCCATGCTGATGGCTGCACTGGGGGCTCAAGCAAGATCCTGTGAGATTGTAGGGCTAATATATGAGATATCATCTCAGCTGAGGCCACGGGACTCAAAAAGAATTACACCTTCCTGGCAGTAAAGGTGCCAGCCTTGCATACATCAAACTAGCCCTTGCATTGCTAATTGGAGGCTTCTGTGCCTGGTACAAAATTGTCGTTTCTCCTTAGAGCCAGTGCCTGCAAAGTTTCTCTTCCCTAGCACTCTGCTGCCACCCTCAGACACCTCCCTCACTGAAGCCATTAAAAGCCATGAGGTTTTGGACATATGGACTTTTGTTCCACACAGAACATTAGTCACCACCCCAGAGTGCCTCAATTGCAAAACTTTCTCTTTATTTGCATCCATGTGCCATACTGCTAGGTAGGTTAGACTGATACCCTCCTCAGGGGTTTCTATATGGACTAAATGAGTTAACTAACACACATCCATAGCCCACATTCCCATACTCTAGATCCAGCCACCCATGAGGACCTCCACCTATGAGCGCATGGGTCTTTGTGGGGACATCAAGATACAAGCTGCAACAGTATTTTGTTTTTTGTTTTTCTATGGTACTGGAATTTCAATCCAGGACCTCATACAAGGTGAGCATGGACTCTATCATCAGACAACATCCCTAACCCTGTAAGGAAGACATTTTAACTCTCTAAATAACAAATACTTGTGGCATAGCAAATTTAAGTCATGATCATTGTTTTTCTCCTCCTAAAGTCCATCTACACAAGCTGTCTCTATTCCACCTATGACTGACCTGTGCCTCCATAAATTATCTTGTAGGATTTCATTGACACTTGCATACTTTCTAACATCAATGACAGCTGAGGGCAACTGATTCTCACAAAGAAAGAAAAGAAAGCTTTGAGAGAAAAAGGACAGACTCCACACCAGGAGGGAGGGCTGACCTGGAAAGTGGCTCCCAAAGCTCACTCAAGGTCTTCAGAATGGAAGGCTCCATCCTGGCCGGTGGGAGGTTGGGTGGTTGGGGCTCCTAAGTAAAACTGACAAATATTTAGCAAGTTTGAAGACGTCCCTTTTAATTCTCACTTTCCCATTAAATCACATAGTTTCATTATTTGTCCCTTAATATGAATTCAGAATTTTTGTTCCCAGTAGAATGGCTGATTCCACTGCCCAGCACAGGTCACGGGAAAAACAGGGAGGAAGACGCCCTGCTGACATTAATCGCTGCCTTACTCTGCTGGACGGGCACCACCACAGGCTCGGACATGGACAGAGTAACAGCTTAGCAGAAACCAAACGTTGCCAGGAGGAATAAAAAAGCCTGCTCAATTGCCAATTTTCACTTTATGATTACTACTAAATCAAGAGGTGTATTAGCTCCTCGTGTAGTAAAACACATATATTTAAGAAAACACCCTCCTCTCCCTGTAGCTTGATGTTTATTCTCGGTGGGGACTGTGCTTCGGAGACTGGAGGAAGTGAGTCCAGCCTTTATGAGGGAAGCACGTCTGCAACTTCTTTTGTACTTTTCCACTTCCAAAACCGTAAGATGACAAAACTGTGCACAGCACAATAACATACCATGGATTTTAGCTTGTTAGAATTCTCTCACAGCTGTGGCTTACAAACTATGTCTGCAGAATCTAAGGTTCCACCCAGGACACTGTGGGATGATCGGATGACAACTCCCACATTAGAGCCTCACCCCTTCTTCACCCAGACAGCCCTACTTCTGCTTCCCAGCATACAGTTTCATGGAAAAATTTTCATCTTTAAAAAAGTTCTACTATTTGAAAAATATTTTTCAAAAGTAGTGAAGGTCACAAAGTCTCTAATTTGACCCATGATCTACCACAGGCTCAGAGCGATCATAACTTAGCTGAAGTCACAGAGCCCACTGGTCAGGGAGGAATGGACTTGCGGTCGTCTCCCAGAGCATGGAGTTATATGCAGTTACTTCTCTCATATTCAGTAAAGACCGTACATTTTTAAATCACCTTAGGGAAAATATACATGTTAAACTATCATGGAGCTCAATAATCTTCAACATGACATTAGCTCTCTGATAAACTGAGTTCTAAAGTTTTGAATATAAATAAAAGATACAAATAAATATGAATTGTTAGTAGTCATTTAATGCACTCAATTTTAAAGCTCAATTTTTAAAAAAATCACAGAATGGAATTTGAAGAAAATCATAAAACTTAGCTTACTCAAGTCATTCAATAAATTTTTGGGTAATATATTGCAAAATTAAAAATACAAAACAGATTTCTCTCTACCATCTAGCATACATGTGGCCACTTCTCATCTTGACTGGAGATATACAAAGACGGGCTTAATTTACATCTTAGTTTACACCCTGGCAAAAGCGACAGCAAAGCACCACCCAGACTTAGGCTCTCTCTGCATCCCTTTCGGGAGAGGTGGCTCCCAAAGAGTGATGATGGATGAAGCACGCTGACTCCTTACAGGGATGTCCTGGCAGCGTGAAATCAGGCTGCTGCCTCTGTAGTGAGCAGCTGCTGCAGATGGCAGGTGCTCGTTTCTTCCACTAAGTGTGTGTTTAAGTGTGCAACCTCCGATGAGGCACTTGGATGCCCACATCCCACCTGTGAGTTATGTGTCAGCAACAAAGCTGTGACATGGATCTCGACCTCTCTGACCTATGTTCTGAGCACACATGCAGGGAGGAGGTCATTTTCTGCTACCTCTCTGCAGTCCCAACAGGAAAGATGCCCAATCAGCCATGTTTTTTTCCTCCTTGACTTGAAGTGTGCTAACTCTAGACACTGTATTACATGTTTCCACACATATCAGTGAAAACATGCACTCATCACATTTCTGAAGAGAAATTAAAATTATATTATATCCAATTCAGTTACATTTATTGAATAAAGTTAATGAATTTTCTCATGAAAATAAAAGCTATAGGAATATTTTTTAAAACTGTAAATTTCTGCTTTCCTTCTTTATATTAATACATATTAGTGTGATCCTTAATTAACGTGTAAGTCAACTAAACATAGCATTTCCTCAGATTAACCCCTCACCCTGGAATCAAACTCAGGGCCTTATGCACACTAGCCCAGTGCTCTACCAAGAGCTACTTCCCCAGCCCAGTGTTTCACCAAATTAACAACAAGAATTAAATCAAAAATCTCAGGCACAAAGAAAAGATGGTACTGTCACTAACCACTGTGAGGTCGTCCTTCATGGTGCTGTTTGAAGGCTGTGCATATAATGTACGAACCCCTAAGTTTTCTCTGGGAGGAAAATTTCTGTGGGGCTCCAAACTATGATCCAAATTTCTGAGACCAGAACACTCTAGGACAGGTCTTGTAGTGACAGTCCTCGGCAAAGATTTGCTTTTGTCTTTCTCCATCAGAAGATTGATTTTGATGGCTTCTAGACTCAGAGTAATCCTGCAAAGATTGCAAATGGCAAAAATTTAATATCACATTTCTCCCTTTTTTCTGTTTGGTTTTGTTGTGGCTTGGGTTTTTTTTTATTGTTGTTTTTCATTTGAAACAGGTTATCACTCTATAGCCCAGGCTAGCCTCAAACTCACAGTGATCCTCCTGCTTCAGCCTCAAGTGCTGGAGTTACAGGCATGCACCACCATGTCAGGCCCCAAATGATTCCTAAATGATTTGTATTTTAAAAAACTGTCAAGTCCCAAGCTCTGTGGACCTCTCGTTCATGGGTGAGGCCTATGCCTGTGCTCTGCACACTCTCTGGGAACTGCAGTGTACAGAAGAGTAGCTTGAGCTCTGTGGACATCTTGGTTGGGATGTGAGGCCTGCGCTCCTGACCAGATGCCTGCAGGCCCTGCTGAGGGGCCCCAGCTCCACACACATCTTAATTGCTGGTGGAGGCTCGTGCACGCACCCCACTGTCTGCTTGTGGACAGCAGAGTGGCACAGGGGAAGCCAGAGCTCTGTGGACCTCTGGGTTGGTAGGTGACGCCAGCCCTCCCTCGACCAGGTGCCTGAACAGCCCAGCTTGGCAACCCCTGTCTGGCCACCACTGGGTTCATGGCTGAGGCCCTCATGCTTTCCATCAATGGCCTGGAGATACTGGTACCGAAGGTCAGCACTCCCCTACCACCACAGATGTGGTCTGAGCCGTGCGCCCCACCAACTACCTGGGGATCCCGGTCCTGGTGGTCCACTGCCCTCTATCATCTTGGGATAAGTCTGACACCAAGAAAACTAGGGTCCCTAGATACTTTCAGTGAGCTGCCTGGGAAGCATGAGGCTCAGTGCATCCCTTCTGACATCCAAAATGACAAAACATGAGAGCAATATGCAATCTCAGAAAGCAAGTCCATCCAGAATAACTCCAGGAGACACTAACATAGGAGAACTTGATAGTCACATACCGGAAATCTCTGAAATGATTGAAACTGAGGTAAAATAACAACTCCAACAGGCCACAGAAAAAATCAGATCAGAAATAAACTCCCAGGTAAAACAAGAAATCACATGAATAATGAAAGAACTGCTCAGCACATCTAAAGAAGACATATATAAAATAATAGATGAGCACAGGAAAATGATGGAAACATTAAATGAACAATACAGGACAGAACTAGAATGCATGACACAGATTTCAAGACATATCCAAAAAATCAAAACTTCCATTGAAAGCTGGCAAAACCGCTTGAATGAAGCTGAATGTAGACTTTCAGATCTTGACCACAGCATTGCAGCCAAAGATCATGAAAGGAAAGACCTCTTAAAAGTAAAAAAGAACCATGAAATATCAATTCAACGACTGCAAGATGATGCAAGGAGAAACAATGTAAGATTAATAGGTGTCAACAAGACAGCAGGAGTCACTACAAATGACATAAAAAGAACATTTGCATAAGTAATAGCAGAAAATTGCCCAAGCATGGAAAAAAAATCTAGCATACAGGTAAGTACGGCATATAGAACCCCAAATAGCCATAATCAAAATAAAATCACTCCCAGACATATAGTAATCAAGATCCTAGATATTCAGCAAAAGAACAGAATATCAAAAGCCATAAGAGAAAAGAAACAGATCACCTATAAAGGAAAGCCCATCAGAATCACAGCAGATTTCTCAACACAAACCATCAAATCAAGAAGAGCTTGGAGTGAAGTATTCCAGGTCCTCAAAGAAAACAATCTCCAACCAAGATTGATGTATCCTGCAAAACTATCCTTCAAATTTAATAGAGAAATAAAATACTTCCATGAGAAAGAACAACTGAAGAACTTCACAAGTGCCAAACCAACCTTACAAAGAGTACTAAAAGATATTCTAGAAAGAGATAGAAATGACAATTCCAGGAACAACAACAGAAAGGAACCAACTCATAGAGCAACCAATTATAAAGAGAGTTAATGTAGGAAACCAAAAACAGGTAAGTACCATGACAAAGATAAGCCAACACATCTTAGTTATAACCATTAATGTAAATGGCCTCAATTCACTAATCAAAAGAAGCAGACTAGCATAGTGGATCAAGAAACAATGTCCAACAATATGCTGTATACAAGAAATACATTTAACTCAAAAGGAAATCCATAGACTGAAAGTCAAAGGATGGAAAACAAGCCCTTGCAAAACAAGAACTTGGTAAAAAGCAGGGGTAGCTATTCCATTTGTGGACAATGCAAACTTCAAATCAATAATGATCAAAAGAGATAAAGAAGGTCACTACATACTTGTCAGGGAAAACTTCAAGAGAAAGACATAACAATTATAAATATGTATGCACCAAACATGGGAGCACTCAACTATATAAGACAAATCTTAATAGACATGAAAAACCAAATAACTAACAGCACTGTTGTCATGGGGGACCTTATCACCCCATTGACACAAAGAGATAGGTCAACTAGATAAACAATCAGCAAAGAAATAGCAGAATTCAACCAAACTTGTGAACACACAGACCTAGTAGACATTCACAGAGTGTCCCACCCAACAACATCAGAATACACATTCTTCTCAGCTGCACATGGGAATTTCTCTAAAATAGACCACATACTACTCCATAGAACAAGCTTAACTAAATGCAAAGGAATTCAAATTGTGCCATATGTACTATGTGACCATAGCACAATAAAATTGGAAATTAACGACAAAAGGTACCACAAGAATTCCATAAACACATGGAAATTAAAGAATATCTTCCTGAACAACCAATAGGTCAGAGAAGAAATTAAAGAAGAAACTAAACAATTATCTGCAAGTAAACAAAAATGCTAATAAAACTTACTGGAATCTGAGGGATGCTCTGAAAGCACTTTTCAGATGAAAGTTTATAGCAGTGAACTCACATATCAGGAAAACAGAACAAGAACAGACAAATACATAAAGGCTGCACCTCATATTATTAGAACTAGAAGAACAACTCAAGCCCAAAGCCCAAAAAGGGAGGAAATTATAAAGATCAGCGCAGAAATAAATGCAACTGAGATGAAGGAAACATTACAAAGCAATACTGAATCAAAGAGCTGGTTCCATGAAAGAATAAATAAAATTCATAAACCCCTAGCCAACCTCATCAAAAAAAAAAAGAAAGACTCCAGTTCACACAATAAGGAATGAAAAAGTGAAATCACTACAGATCCTATAGAAATTCAGAAGATCATCAATACATACTTTGACAATCTTTACTCCCAAAGGATGGAAAACACAGAAGAGATAAATACATTCCTAGATAACTATGAATTTCCAAAGTTGAATCAAGAAGATATAAAAATCTTGAATACCCCAAAATCAATAATGGAAATTGAAACCATAATTAAAAACCTACCAACAAAGAAAAGCCCAGGTCCTGATGGATTCACAGCTGAATTCTACAAGACATTCAGAAAAGATTTAATAACAGCATGCCTCAAACTCCTTTTTTTCTTTTTTTTCTTTTTTTT